AGAAATTTGAAATCTATCGATGAAGTTTGATGTAGCTTACTATGAAATTCTTAAAAATAAAATACTAATAAGAGTAGCAGTGAAACCTAGGGTATGCTCAGGAAGATGCTAATTTTTTTCGCAAACTCTCAATGCAAAAATTCTTTTCTTAAAAGTCTATCATTTAAGTATGCTATTATCCTCCATGAGTTTCATCTAGGCCCCATAATCAATAATCGAAATTTTACATACTAAAAAATCTCTCCGCCGCCTATACTACCGAGAGCTCATACATACTGCACGTCTGTTTTCTTCTTTAATATATGATCTAAGATGTTTAACTTTTCATTCAAAAATAGACATACAAATACTTGATATTGTGTATACAGATAGATAGCCCTATACAGCTTCATACTTCTATTTTGCACATGTTATTATACTCTATGTAGCCTTCGGTTTTATAACTTTGCATGCCTTGAAAACCTATGGTTACCCCCATATTATAGCTCTTCATGTCCTATAGATATAACATACAATAGCCCTTGAGAACCTTTCTCTTATAGTCTTATTTGACCTTTAACTTTTGATTCAGCACAGATAGACACAAAACATTATATAAATAAATTGGACTTTATACGTAAAAAACAAAAATCATTTGTTTTTATCTCGTCTAACAGATAAAATATAAGTTTTTATTATTGTTTCCATTAAAATTTTAGATTGACTGAATGTGGTTTATACAAAGGTAGTTATCGTACAATATGTGCTATACGTTGGACGTCACCTGAAGCTATATTTGATTCAGAATATACATCACGTTCAGATGTTTGGAGTTATGTATGAATAGTTTTTATTTAATTAATTAAAATATGTATTATTATTATATTTATTGAATAGGGTATAACTCTTTGGGAAATATATTCATTAGGTGAACGACCATTTGCTACTATGAATAATAATGCTATTAAAAATATTTTAAAAAATCCATTATTAAATCTTTATTTTTATCTTCCACAATCACATAAATATATGTCTAACGAAATATATAATCAAATTATTCGACCTTGTTTAACATATAATGTTACATTGAGACCACGTTTTCGTGATTTAATAGAACGTGTTCAAAATATTTTTCATGATCGTATTAAATAAATAAAAAATTAATTTTTATATTCAAAAAAATCTATTTACAAAATAATTATATTTAATGTTTCATATTTGTTTTCTTTTTTTTCTTCTATTGAAAATAAATAATTATATAGATATTATATATTTCTATCAATTATCACATAAAGATTTGTATTATATGAAAATAAGGAAGATAATGTTTATACAAATAATATTTATTTATTTATTTTTACTATTTCAATATGATTTTATTTTTATCTTGAAATTTTATATAAACTGTCATATTAAGAATAGTTTAGAAAATATATATTCAACAAAATCTATGTTAATACATATACATATTTTTTTCATAACGACTCATCAATAAAACATACAGTATCTACAATAATTATTCAAATAGTTTGTTTTTTCATTTTTTTTCTGCTTCTCTAAAAGCTAGAAAGAATCTAAAAAGTGATTCTAATAGAGAAAATTGTTTTCAACAAGAATATAGGGAAATAAAAATCATAATCCGATTCCTAAAGACGTGGTCTCCAGAAAACCCAAACCACAGTGTTTCACTACCTGAAACGTGCAAATACAATTTTGTTTAGGCTACATAGGAGGAGGGTGTGGGTGTGGGTGTGTGGGTGTGTGGGTGTGGGTGTGGGTGTGGGTGTGGGCGTGGATGTGGGTGTGAGGGTGTGGGTGTGGGTGTAGGTGTGGGTGTGAAAGTGATGCTAACACCCACATCCCACACACCTACACTCACACCCACACACGCACACCCACACCCGCCTTTTTAGGTTCTGAAAAGTAGCTAGTTTTGTAGAGCTTGAAAAGTTCTATCGATTGGTACGTAAAAGAAGCCGGTTCACTCATGTTTTTATGAAAAACTAAGGATATAATTATAGTCCATATATGGTTTTTATAGGCACCGCACTGATTATATGATATTTTTGACTTACGGGCACACTTGTTAAAATTCTTGAAAATAGCTAGTTTTGTAGAGGTTGAAAAGTTCTATCGAATGGTATATAAAAGAAATTTAATGAAAGTTGCTTTCATGAAAAACTAAGGATATAATTGCAGTTCATATATGGTACATGTAACAGACCCAGATAAGACTTAGAATCTCATACAAATACATCGAATTTAGCACCAAAATGATCAGGAGGCGATAATCTATCGACTTATGTATGATTCAGTTAGTTTTCGTAATGAAAATCAACA